CTTTATGGCACTATCTGCTTTCCTGTTGAAAATGTGATCTAAGACTTAAGTTGTAAGGCTCTTTTAAATAGGAAGACATACCTTTGTGTATAATACATATAAGTAGATAGGATTTTTATGTTCTAATTTGAAAAAGTATATATACCTCTCCGAAAACACTTGCCTTGGTCTCTGAATTTCTCCTTCATATACACAGATAATTTAACCAAAGGTAGGTTAAATATAGATGTTATAATTTTCATTTTTCTGCTTTTGGTTTGGTTAAGAATATTATTAGATTCTTCACTAGTGAAATAAGCCTTGAGGTGACCTTACAGAACTTCTTGTGAAATATACTGTTACTTGTGGTAGAAACATGTGGTCCATGCATCACGTATGAAATGCATTGTGAAACATGAAGTGATGATAAAATCTAACTCTGGAGTTATAATCAACCCTACCTGCCCTCAGGGAGCAGTAGGGGAAAAAAGGTAATAAAATACTATCATTCCTATTTTAATGGCCTTGTGCATTGTGCAATGGCCTAATGTCAATCTTGCTACAATTACAAAATATAGTTTAGTGGAGAATAATTTAGAAGTAAGGCTTTGCTGTTGGAATAGCAAAACCAGATTGTACTTCAATTATTTTTCTGTAATTTAAAAATAACGAAAACATAAATATTTTCTAGAATAGATTCAAGGATATCTAGCTCACATTTAGAAATAATCCCGTGAAACTAAGATACTTCTGTTTCTCTAAAAGTTAAGTCCTAAGTGAAACAGAAGACAGACCAGCACCGAATTACCTCCCTGTCTTCCATTTAGGGGAAGAAAATGGCTAGCAGAGTAAACAGTTTCAGCAAAACCTTGAAACTGTGTTTGTGTATTGACCGTATTTGCCTTCCAACATAAGAAAGTGGCCACCTATGACCATCTACAGTTTTTTGGTTTTTTTTTTTTTTTAAATAACAGGGAAAGGTTTCAATATCGTCTTAGAGAAAACCTTATCTCCCTTTTAAAAAAAATAGGAACTCTTATACTTTTCTCCATTTATATGGTATTTAACAAATAGCTGATGATGGTATAGAGGCTTTGTTTTCCCTTCTACTCTTTACTGCTTTCATTTGCAAGAGTTTTAGCCCATTTCCCTCGTTTGTACCACACTTCGTGTTTCCCTTGTGTTCCTTCTTGTTTGTCCCTTTTTGTCCCTAAAAATCAGCAGTTAAAATCACTGCTTTGTTCATGAAAGCTTATGAAATTGGGATCGCTTCAGCAAAATCTTGTTCAGCTTGAAAATTTTTCCTAGAG